TAATACTGAATTTACCAGAGAGTGTAAAGTACTGAAATGTTTTATGAGACAGACATGTCAAGCACCAAAGCTTGTATTGATACTGATTTTACCAGAGAGTGTAAAGTACTGAAATGTTTTATGAGACAGACCTGTCAAGCACTAAAGCTTGTATTGATACTGATTTTACCAGAGAGTGTAACGGACTGAAATGTTTTATGAGACAGACATGTCAAGCACTAAAGCTTGTATTGATACTGATTTTACCAGAGAGTGTAAAGGACTGACTTCCTATAATTTTTACTATTTTCAGTGATAAGACAAAGCAAATTGTTGATCTAAATGAATTAGCGAGCAGATTCTTTAAATTAATAAATCATGACACACATGATATCTTCAATATTTAATACCCCTGTTTTATGAAATATGGTGCTTCCTGTCTAATGTTATAGATGTTTGGTCTTAAGTGTATTTAATTTTTCCTTTCATATGTTTAGGTGTATATAATGGATTAGATAGTTTATTTATCAAGTATTTATCTTAAAACATAAGTGCGAAGTGAGTCTTTTGATTCAACTGTTAACTCTTATAAACTCCAATGGTAATTAAAGAAAAATGATAACTATTAACCCTAGAAGGTTAATAAAAAGTTCTTAAAATTAGTTTGTAAAAAATGTTTTTCCATCTGAAATGGAATTTTCTTTGCTCCAGCTCTGAGATTACTGTGATTGTGAGTTCAATACACTGGTGTGAGCCACCTAAGTTCTGGATATATTGCATGTCTCAAAAACAAGTACTTAGGTTATTTACATAGATATATGTTATACAGGGAAGCAGGAAAAGATTGTATCAAGTCCCAAGAAAGGAACGTATCACGGAACAGACCTACCAGATGTCCCGTTGGACTCCTTCTATTAAGGATGTCATGGAGGTATGGCTCTGATTGTCTATTTCGCTTTCCATTCATGCTAGTTAAAATTCTAGAAAATGGTTTAGTTATTAAAACCATTTGAAATTTTAATGTTGATTCTATAAAACATTCTCTTCAAGATACTTAGAAAACATAAAGTATTATCTTTTAGACTTTTCAGTGACTTGTTAGTGAAAGAATATATTTTTAAATAACTAATTAAATAAGAGATACATTTATTTTTATAATCACAGAATGATTCACAACATCATTGAGATGCTTAAGAGTTATTTTAACTTGATTCTCTGTGTCCTCAGGATGCTATTGACGATAAGTTGGATAGCAAGCATTTCCCTTTCCTGGCTGGTCGGGTGGCACCATCAGCTTATGGTCGACCAACTCCTACAAGGTAATTATAAGGCTAAAGAAATACTGCTGATTCTGTTAAAGTTTATGACATTAAGTGGCCATTGCTTCTAAGATTGTTGTTTTTATGTGGTTTGAACATTTACTAAGGAAACTTGGCTTTGCGGCCATAATTTGTGGTTGATCAACATATTAGCTGTCCAGTAGGGAGTGAACAAAGGATCCTAATACTTAACTTACAACACACACTTTTCATTCCTGGTAATGTTTGTGTTAAATTGTATTTGTGTGAAAGATATAAGAGTATTCTTTTTTTAACAATGCATCAGGTAAGTTTAGGGAGTTTCATAAGAACTACAAATTATTTTAAATGATACAATTAATTTTTTGTGGAATATATTATTATTATTTATTTTAAAAAGATATTTATTAGAAATGAACTTGAACAAGAACATTATTGACAAAAATCATAATGTAATGCCTGACGATGGTAACAATAATGCCATTTTGAAGCATGAGTCTGAAGCTCAGAGGTAATTTCTAAGCCTTTATCTAAGCAAACTAACAAAGTTGATTTGCTGTCAATCAGCAAAATAAAATATCAAAAGAAATATAGATTAACATCAAACACATTAGATATGTGAAATAAACTTTCAGGTCAGTAATAAACAATCAAGATGAAGTATTTTTAATCTTTTATCAAAAGTGTCTCACAAGAAAAAAAAATTGGAAATTTCACAAAGAAAAAAACAAATTCAAGTTATATGAAACTTAAACTAGATTCTGTACAGAAAGATTTGTACAATTGTTATTCAAATTAATTATTTCTGATGTGAGAAGAAAGAAGTTGACACATCCTATGGTCCAGAAAAGGATTAACTCTCTCCGGAGGTTGTCTGATTTGACCAACTGTGGAACTGTAAAAACTATACATACTATAGCTCTAAATTTACTAAATGTATTTTCATAAAATTTTACAGGCTTTTACTAATTATAAGTATTTAATACACAAAATATCAAAGCTTTTACTGGCTCAGTCTGAGTGAAAGATGATTTTTCATGCTGAGAATAAAAACTTCTCTTCTCACAATCTTATTATTTCATTATTATAACATCTAGAATACAAATTTAATAAAGTGTTATATTTCATCTCTTATTTTCTCTACCCTAACACAATAAAATGAGCAATACCATTCTTTCATTTTATGAAGCTTACAAAAGCATGGCTTTGATTTTTTTTATGAGTGCAAATGAGTTTGAGTATACAGTGAGTAATACAAATCCTCGTTTTAATGAATACTTTTTCTTCTTTTTAACAAATGTAACTAAACTATTAATATTATAAATTGCTCAGCTTAGCTTAACAAACTTCAGTAAAATGTCTAAAGTTCCCCAAGTTTGAGCTAATCATACACCCATGCCATATTTCACGCAATATTAATATTACCAGTGCCTGAAAAAGCTACTGGCTGATGCTATAACTTATTACTTTGTGGACTTGACGATTACTGTATCCAGTGGATACAAAGTACTGCAATAAAACCATAAGAAAAAAGATACGAAAATGGTACCAATTTAGTTGAAACTTTTTAAACAACACTCATGTTAGTTTACGTTTCATAAATTTGACATCCAAAAAAGAATTCATGTATTTTAAAATATGCATTTTAGAATACAACAAATATATCAGCCATGAGAATAAAATGTCTTAAAACTACCGCAATTTATCCATTTTTCTCAGTAAGCTGTAAATGGATTTATAAATTCATTTAGCCTTAACATTATCAAATGTGATAACAACAAACAAAGCAAATCCTTTTGACTGTTTACTTTTGCTGCCAAAAGTGGAAAGTGCATAGCAAGCTTTATATAGAAAATAATCCACTCTTTTTAGTAGTTATAAGCATCTCCATCAGCCATCTAAAGTTGATTAGTAAGCAATACTAAACGTTAAGAGATAGGGGTTTGTTTGGTTGGTTTGAAAAATGTATTGGTATCTCAGCAAGTTTACAAGTCCACTAAAATTGTTATATCAAGCTGATCAACTGCATATTTGGGCTAGATGAAGTAGAATAGTTTAATCTATAACTTCAAACCTTGTATGCTGTTACAGGAAGAAATAAATGAGATTTTCTTTTGTCCTTATAAGTTCTCAGCAGAATTTTAAAAAGGAAATGATTTTCCTCTGGACCTTAAAGTCTCAGAAACATGAAACAATTTTGAAAATTCTTTCCAATTGTTTTTCTTTTTTAGCTTCAAAACTTAAAAGGTTGTCATATTAACAGCATTTGAGTAAAGTTTAGCCAAGGAATTAAACATTTACAATTTTTTTTTAAATATACAGATATTTGTATGAAAAGCTGTTTGTAGTACTTGTCTATAGAAGTACATCACAGATTTATTATTTTTTATCAAATACTTGTGCATTGCATGTAATTAATAGATTATTTTAAGTATCCCACAAAACTTTGTTTTTAATGAAATTATATGTATTTGATTTGTTAATTCTGCCAATGTATTAACGTTCATAATTTAACAAATAAGTGTTTGTATTTTTTATCTATTCTTTCCTTTACTTGACATACATTTTTCTTCATAGTGTGCGATATGGCCACTGGCACAAAGATAAAAACACACCAAATGTGAAGAATGTTCCTCGTTTGATTATATATGTGATTGGAGGAATTACTTATTCTGAGATCCGTTGTGCATATGAAGTCACAAAAGTAATGAAGAATTGGGAAGTTATGCTTGGTAAGCTTTGAAAAGATTTAGAAATTAATTTTCGTCCATTAATTTCAACAACAGCTGGTCTTGTTATGTTTTAGAGCGTTGTTGCTTTAATACTTAAACATTGTAGAAAAAAAGTTAGTGGTTTTTATAAATGAATTGGGGAATAATATTATGGTTTGATTATTTTATTTATTTAAGGTATTATTGTAATTAGTTTATAGACACATGCATTATTCAGGGAAAGAAACCTTTTCCTGTAACACAAAATATAATTATTTAGGACTTCCCCAAATAAAGTTAAATTTTCCTAGGTTTTTTCTTTCTTACTTCTGATTCTCTTATTATATGTGCATTTATTTACCATAGTATTTTGGTGTCGATATATGATATAAATTGAACTCTTGGTAAATAAATATTAACCAGTGGTCAGTAGTCATTACATTACAGTATCAATAGATGATTTGATATGCTCGCATTGTTAAATCTTGTATGATCAGTAGTCATTATGTAACAATATGATAAAAGTTATCGTGCATATGCTACATGTTTAATGGCTCGTGGTTGTTACGTTACAAAACTAATGATGATTTGTTATGTATGTGCTACATGTTTAATGACCAATAGGTATTGCATAAGATAACTAGAAGTTGATTTGTCATGTACATGTTACATGTTTATGGCCTGTAATTATGTTAACATACTAGAAGAGATTTATCATGTATATGTTATGTGTTGTTTGGTCAGTAATCATTATGTAACAGTACCAAAACGATTTATCATGCACATGTTGTATGATCAGTAATCATGATGTAACAGTACCAAAACGATTTATCATGCACATGTTGTATGATCAGTAATCATGATGTAACAGTACCAAAACGATTTATCATGCACATGTTGTATGATCAGTAATCATGATGTAACAGTACCAAAATGATTTATCATGCATATGTTATATGTTGTATGATCAGTAATCGTTGTGTAATGTTAATTGTACATTTATGCATTTTTACATGTCATATGGTCAGTAGTTGTTGTTTAACAGTACTGGAAGATTTTGTGTTGCATGTCGTAAGATCAGTAGTCATTAGGTTAACAGCACCAAAAGATGATTTGACACACAAGGATTGTACAATTGATGTCATATGCACCTTGATGGTATAGTATCTATGGTGTCAAAGTGAGAGTTCTTGTTTATTATTATTGAAGTTTGACCTTAATGTTAGAAATTAGAAAATAATTTATTTAAGCTTGTGGCATTGAATCTTTGTAAAGAAATTTTGGTGTTTTATTTTCATCATCTATCTTGTAAAATATTTATTAGCGTATTTTCATCCAAAGTTTTATGTTTGCCAAATTCTGTACATTAGATTTCCTAACATACCATTCCTGAGTGATTTGCATTTACCTTAAAATCAACCTGAAAACCAATGGTTGTAATTACAGTGTGTCTTCATGTGTTCTAATAACTGATCATTATCTCAAAACAAGTGTGTGAGAAATTCTCTTTTGTCCTATTTTGTAATAGATTTGTTAATTTGTTTCAGGATCTGACCATATTCTCACACCTGAAGGGTTTCTTAGTGATCTTCGTGACCTGAGCAGCTAATGTGGTCAAAAGTTACCAGTAAAATATGAAAATGTGGGCTATTAACATTAAATTTTCTAATCTAATTATTAGGTATGCACTAAGAAGTGGCATTGACCTCTTACTTGTTTCTTCTGTATAGTCTTTGATGTTTTTATCAATTCTTGAAACTATTTATCGTTTCAACAAAACCCAAATAATTGAAGGTTTTAACGATCTTTTTACTTACTTGTTAAGATAAATTTTCCTATCATTATGCATCGGGTGTTGAAATTTATTTATTTTGTGTGTTTAATCTCGGTATATATATGCATAATGTAACATGCCACTATTGTTTACTGAAGCATAAACAAAATTCACAAAATCACCCTTTGACTTTTTCAAAAGAGCAAGAGGTACAAGTGTTCATAAATCTTTGAAGTAAGATCTTTACAGCACAATATACAATTCAACGTAGCTCAACTAAACAGAATAAAAGTATGAGGACTAAATAGGATGTTTATAGACCATTCATGGCTAGTGCAGATTGACGTACGCCATCCTTATTATTCTTACAGCACAAGGTTACACCTGTATTATACTCCTTTCAATTCACAATGTCCAGTTCAACAGAACAATGAAATGAACAGGACTAAGGTAAGATACTGTGTCTTGTGTAGATTGACGTACACCATCCTCACAAACATACATAATACATTTTCTCATCGTGTTACTGTTGCGTAAGAGGATTTGACACCTTTTATTATGACTTCTGTTGTTTTTGTTTTTTCGTGTATTTCCCAATTGTGGGATTTTCAAACCACTATAAAATTGGTAAAGGACAATTATTAAAAATATCTGTTGTTTAAAGATCAATAGAAGAATTTTCATTTGATAAAATAAATTGTGAATTTTCACTAAATGTTTTTTTTTTTTTCATTGTGAGTGAATGTCCATGTAATTTATTTACATCCTTATACCTGATGCTTCCTTAGCAGAGAGTCCAAGGATGATATTGTATGATTTAATATTTTAGTATTGTGTGTGGGTTGTGCTTCAGCAAACAATATTAACGTTAGTAGAACAAGTATATCATTGTAAGTGTTGTGAGATCATTAAACATTTGCTCCACTTTAGGTGATACAGTATTATTAAACTTGCTCTGCAATACATAATTTGTCAAGAATCATTCTTAAATTGAATGTATTTAGAAAATATTTAGCACATTACATGTGTTTAAGAGTATTTGTTTTGGTAGCTTAAGTTATATGTTAGTAAATGGCCTTTATGGAGAAAGAATGTTAGTCTTAATTATTGATCTTTTTTCTAAAACTAGTATTTTACTAATTCTTAAAGTTTAGTGTACTTTCAATTGTTCTGGATATATGCAAGGATTGTGTTATTTTATGTAAGATGTTCGTGTGTCTTCAAATAGTGAATAGCTTCAATATAAATGACTAAGATTCGCTTATAGCAAAATGTGGGATGAACAGTTACATGTAGCATAAAATAAATTAAATTTACATTTTTTGTGGTACTTCATATGTTTACTTTGTAATTTGGTTTGTGAAATTTAATGCTAAGAAGGCTATTGATTGAATATAAATTATCTATATTGTGGTTGTTGTTTTTCTATTTAATACAATTTGCCTTACAAGCAACACTTTCCAGAAAATAGAAAATCCAGAGTGGCTTACCAACTAACAGGTGAAAGCTAGTAGAGAAATTTATGCAAAACAGTGTGTGAAGTAGTTTATCAGAACATTGTATTCATAATTTATGATAAGGAATTAATACATTTTCTAGTTTGTTTAGATGTTACATATTGTATCCTATTGAATTAAGAAAAATAGCTTGTATGTCAAATGAGCTAGTGTTAACATCAGGAAATCTGCAGAAGACGTTTTCATTTATATTTTTGTTTTGGACATTTCCTGCCAAAAGGCAATACCAGTTGGTTTGTTTTAAATACAGAATGATGTGAATATTTATTGATCAGCATACATAACTTGTGTAATTTATTAGTAAATATTAATGTGTAATATATTAAGAAAATGTTGTATACTTCAAAATTATATTAGTTCATTTCAGCGAGAAATCATAAGAATAGCAGAACCGTGTAGAGTGCATGTGTATTATACTTTTGAATGATTTAGTGTTTCTTCTTAAGGTAATTGAGATGTATCTCTAGTTGATTCATAATTCTACCTAATTATTAATAGCAGTGTTTTTAGTTTATTTCTAAAATGTGAACTTTCCAAATGTACATCAATACATGTTTTATTATTTTGATTTGTTAATGTTGTAAAAATTATGTAAAAGCTTTTGTATTGCAAATTGTTAGTTGAATAAGCAAGACTTCTTGTATCATAAAAATGTGTAATTTGCTTCTTAATAACCCTAAAAAACAGAGTTAAATTGATACAATACAACATCTGTAATGAGTCAAGTTGATTTTAATATTATAAACTCTCTTTGGCTGTAAATTGTAAGTAGGAACATGTCACATTTTTGAAAGCATTTGGTAATAACATAAAATGTCAAAAATTATATAAAGATCAGGAATTCAAGTTTCAGGCATAAGGATAAAAAAAATCCTAACTAATACAACAATTTTTTTTTATAAAACAATTTATTTTTAGTGGTAGAAAAAACCACAATCTGTCAAATGGAGCAATAAATAATATAATATGTAAATTACCTATATCAAGTAGGTAACTTGTGGTGAGGGAAGAATATTTAAAACATTTTATATTGTAAAACTGCAGATATTGAATTATTGACACATTAGTGTATCAATTTATGGTGTATTAATTTTATAGGTTTCTTAGATGCCTATGTTTTGTTCACTGGTTTGTGGATCAGGGAAAATGTTTTCGGTCCATGTGATATGGTGTTATACCATTTGTATTGATTCATGGAATGGAGCTAGTTGATGTTTTATATAGTAGTGGTTCCCAACTGCTGTCCATGAATTGGTGCTGGTTCATGGATGGGGTTATTTCAGTGTTTTAAAGTATAGCTACTGAAGTACATTGTTTTACAATGTGATGTAAAATTACTTTAAAAAAGTTGATATTGTACAAACTGTTCCATGATATTGTGGGATCAGAACTATCTGGTCCTCAGTAGTAGAAAGATTGGGAATCACTGTGCTATAGGGACAGGTATTGGACTTGGTAGGTAGATTTATGGATTAGGGAATGGGGCTTCTGTCCTCATGATATAGTGTTATACCAGTTGGCTTGATTCACTTATAGAAGCTGGTTGGTGTTTGCTATAGGACAAGTATCGGACTTGGTAGACAGACAAACCCTGTGAAGTAACAATGGTTTTTGTCTTTTTTAAAGTTATTTCAGTAAGAAGCTAAAAGATGTTTGCAATCTTCCATTGTTCATATTTCTCCACTTTAACCCCTGTGCTGGTGTTACATACAAATCAGCTGACCAACCCTGATGGTTATGAAGGTGTGGCATGCCACTTATTTGGCAACACAAAGACTGTTTGGAACAGAGTATTTTAATTAGAAAAGGGAAGGTCTAGATGTTTGCATAATTAAGATAGTTACCACTCACCATTTTTTGCTAAAGTTCAGCTGGTTTTCAAGAGAGGAATGATGGAAATTAAGTATCGAGGTAGATCAGGGCACTGTGTTGGTTGTAGTTCTTTTACAGTTTTAATGGACTTGTGCTTGATAACTTTCTTCTTAAAATTGTTTAGCAAACTTAATTTTGGAATCTATATAAATAAAGCAGTTATTATAGAAACATAGATATTAAGTGTAACCATTCATTAATCTGTGTGTCTTAAATTTCTTCATTTTTTATTTCCACTTTGAACACATCAAATTTGTTTTAACTGAATCCAAGGTTCGTTGTTTTAAAACGTATTATGAACTTAAATATATTTACAGTCATAACTAATTTAGATATATTAAGACTTGATTTGGTAATTGGAGAAACAGTTTCCTTTTTTTAACATTCTTCTTTTCTTATTAGAAATTGTAACAATTATATCATGTATGTAAATGTTTTAGTTCATGTGTAATACAACAGGTTTGAAAAAACTGATGTATTGTAGTTTTTAGAAACTCTTTCAATAGTATTATTTATTTTGCAATTTACCAATCTGTAAATTGACTGATTTCTGTTTCATCTAGAATTATTAAAAAAATTCTTTAATGCACAATAATTTTGTCACATTTGGGAATATATTTATTATGTTCTGTGAAATAAATATTCAGGCGTGGCTCTGTTGTACGTGTCACAACCTTTCATGGTGTTACATTCAAAATTTAATTAAATTATATTATCAATGTATCAATAAACTTGGCATAAAAATGTAGTTTATGTTTCAAATAGTTATTTTCGAAGTTTGAACTTCTTAATTTTTCAAAAAAACTTTAAAAAATTCTCAATCTTCATTTTTCTACATTTTGTGATGCATCTTTGCTTTGATTTATCATTTTCAGAAACTTGTAACTTCTATAATAGGATTTTACAGTTTTCAGTCAGTTAGAAACACAAGTTGTGCATAATTATTAGCAAAAATCTAAAATTTGCGAACTAACTTTCTGCCTTCATTATTTGCTTAGATATCAAGAAATTTGACAAACCCACCAGAGAAACCCTTGCTTCTTTCTCTCTGACTTCCGAAATTGTATGCTAATTAACCTTACATGCTTATTGCAACATGTTTATAACCAATAGAAAGAGCAGATTCTCCTCTACATACATCTTATTGTATGTTGTTTGGTTGTGAAAGGCATTAATTGATAGAATTGCCTGGTTTGTTCTGATCAGATTTGGAGCTCTGAACATTAACAGAATTTTTTAAACCTATTTACAGCTTTCCTAGAACACCATTTAAATTGTTATAGGTTTGGGCATTCTATTCTAGTGATTATGTTTTGAAAGCTACACGAACTCTTTCTTGGACATCCAACTTTGTGAGACAGAACAAGGCCTACTGAAGAATGCTACTTGAGTGCAATACTGTTTTGAGTGTCAGTGAGTACTACAGATACTTGTTTTCTTATGTGTAGTTTTTATTTATTGGTATGTATTTTTTTAAAGAAAAGTTAACTGAAATGTAAAAATTATAAATCTTAGTTTAAATGAAGAAAATTTCTATAAAATATGATAATACTCAGTCACTAGATCACATACTGTTTACTTAAGTTCTATGGGAAATAGCTAATGGGATCCAGCTGTGATTTATTGCTTTTTACAGAAGACAAACTGATACTGTAGTCCAAAGTATAGGCAAGTAAAATTGCAAAAGTAACAGGAAGCAGATGTTAAAAGGTTAATAGTTGAAGTTGAAAATGCAAGATAAATTCAGCAGTCAATGAAGATGAAAAAAGGAATTATTCATTTTCATGTTTTTAACTTTTCATTTCACTTACATTGATGATTTTGCTTCACTTGTTATTTTCATGAAAACAAACAAACTTGATATTCATTTAGGAGACTAGAGGTTATGAAAAGTGTAAAAAGGAAATAACTATTTTTATTCTCAGCATGAAAATCACCTTTCACTCACGCTGAATCAGTAAAGGCTTCTGTAATTCAACGACGAACCTTTAATAAAAACACTGTATTAAAGTATGAATTTCTTAAAGATAAGATTCATACATTCAGAGTTATGTATAGTTATACAGTTACAAGATTGGTCAAATTGATCAAGCCCATATACAGAGTTAAAAGATAGGATTTGTTGCATAAAACTGTTTTACATTAAATAACCAAAACTGTCTTGAGAAAGTTCGGTGTCGATAAAACAGATATCTGGCACATAAACATTAAGAATAGAACACTGCATTCAAGAACAGGAAGCAGTTTTCTTTAAACAACAGTATTTAACGATTGTCATGCATTTAGCTGCATATCGCTTCAGTATCGAACTGTCCTAGCACATATAGAATAATTACAAATGTGTCTAGATATTATACGAAGAAATTAGCTATGAGACGCTACAGTATGGCCACATCTTATAACTATTGCAGTCACACAAATTTATAGCATTTTATTTAGTTTATATCGAGTTTGATCTGTTTTTGTGTTTGTATCTAGTTACAACAAAGTAGAAAAAATGTTGATTCTTTAAGACATAGCACTTTCAGTATTAGTAACCTTTCGTAAACCCTAATTATATTTTCATAAGTTTCAGATTGAGTGCTATTAAAACAAATATACTCTTAAACATAAATTTGTTGTGGCTGTGATATTGGCCTACCATGTGTGCACTGAAATTATTTGTTGTAATGCTAGATCAGTGATTCTCAACTGCTGGTCCATGGGAAGATCCCAGCCAGTCCGTACAATGGTGGGAAAAAAATGTCTTTTAAAACATAGTTACTGGTGTATACTGTTTTACAATGTAATATGAAAGTACTTTAAAAAATGAATATTATATCAAGTTGTCCATGAAAGTTTGGGATCAAAACTAGCTGGTCCTCAGTTGGCAAAGGTTGGTTTTGAGTAATATTTTCACTTGACATATGATAAATTGCTGTTTATATAATAAATAAAGATTTTACACATTGAGCATATTTCTCACAAATCTACAATGATTATTGTTAAAGGACACATCAGAATTGTGTATTTTTATCTAAACACATGCACTGGATGGGTTTTGTGGCATTGTGAATGTACATAACATCCGAATGAACGTTAATAGTACTGTTTAGTAAAGTAGATGATAATGTGTACTCTCACTACTTTTGCAACATTATAATCTTAAACAAATTCTGTCTACCTAAAATGTGGAATGTGACTGCCTACATTATACCTGTGTATTCAACAGTGTGTTGATTGAAATTTGGAGTATCACTGATTTGCTGTAATTTTTTGCTGCATGGTATATACTAACGTTTTTTTTCCTGACAATGTGGTAGAGATAAAACTGACTTGGCTGTGCATGTGATGCATCTCAGGAGAATCCTGAAGTTTCCTCGTTGGTTATATGTTGTGCATATCTTCAGCAGGATACATGTTTTTACAGTAGTTTTGGGTTAAATTCCAGGAGTTCTTCAACATTCACTGCTTTGTTTCTGCAGCTAGCTGTACATGACTGCCATGATAAACTTGAATGACAAAACAAGGTCAACACTGCTTTCAGTTGTACAAGAGTTTGCCCTCCTTATTGTCCCAGAAAAATCAAGGTAAACTTTCAGTGCTGGCTGCTCGTAAAATGTGTCCTGGATGTACTTATATCAAGATGAATAAATAACGTGAATGAAAGTATTAAGCCTATTATTATTACTGACATTTTTTCAAAAGCTTTTAAATATATTTGAAATCTCAATTTTTAAAGTATTATTAATATTTATTATGATATATATTAATGTTAACCTAAATGTTTGAATAATGTTAACTTTCTAGTCATTTACATATGTGTTTCTTTAGATCTGTTATCTGGTGCTTACTTTGATTGTTCTATGTTTGATAATCTTTTGTTTCATCAAAGTGTAAAATCACCAGAGGAAGGATGCCGTGTGGAGATTAAATATAAATTAAGTTTGAAATTGTCATTAGAACCAAAGGATGAACTATTTGGCATGTTTAAAGAAGAAAACATAACTTGTTAAATTATTTACTATTTTGTATACTCCAAAAATCTTAAAATGTAGCTAGAAATTATATTTTGTATTTTTTTTTATCAAGTGTGTTCAAAATTGTAAAAATATGGAAAATTATCTTTATTTTTGATATAAAAGGCTTGAATAAATGAAAGCAAAATGTTTTGTTTAATCATAAAATTATAACGTACAGTTACTCAAATAGTATAGAAGTGTCTGTTTTGTTTTTTGTTTGGTTTGTGTATTGTAAAATATTATTGTTTTTTGTTTGGTTTGTGTATTGTAAAATATTGTTTTTTTTTGTTTGGTTTGTGTATTGTAAAAT